CGCTGCGCGGCGCTGCAGGCGCGCTCCGCTTGAGCCAGCTGCGCGCCGTGCTCGTGGCCGATCATTTGGCGCGAGCTCTGCGCGCGCATGGGTGAGCGCGCCGCGGGGCCAGAAAGGCCGGGGTGGCGAGCTGGGCCTACAGCCACTGCGGGTGGGCAGGAGGGGGAGCTGCGGCGGGTGCTCGAGCTGCGGCGGGTGCTCGAGCTGCGGCGGGTGCTCGGGCTGAGACGGCCGCCCTCGCTTCCCAGGGCGAGTGTGCGGCTGGTGCCCGCCGTACGGGACCCGCACATGCCGACCTTCCTGCAGCAACTGCACGTGGACTGGCCCGCTGCCTCCGAGAGAGCCGCCACCGAAGCCCTGAGGAGCCTCGCGCTTGCAGAGCTTAGCCCTGCCCGGGACGGGGAAGCCCTGCCCCCTGGCGTCCTGGGCACAGTGTGCCTGAAGGAGGTGATGCAAGAACGGGGACGCGCAGGTGGCTACGACCCCAACCTGGACAAGTGTCTGGGTAGGAGCTGGAGCCTCGCAGGGCCGGACAGAAGGTGGGGGACCCTGCGCTCCTGGCTGGCCTCAACTGTGTTCTCCGCAGTGACTGAGGATCTGCTCTGCGCGCTGGCCGAGCTGCAGGAGGCTGTCCGCCACGGGCCTGGGGACGGCCCTCCAGGCCTGGTTAGTGACTGACCCCCCACCCCGTGGGCCTCTGGCAAGCCGGGGGTCCTGTGTCCGCCCAGTGACCGTTCTCCTACCCTGTAGGCAGAGGCCGCGGATGCTGATGCGGGCGGCTGCATGGTCGTACACGTGGTGAGCTGTGAGGAGGAGTTCCAGCAACAGAAGTTGGACTTGCTTTGGTGGAAGCTGGACGAGCAGGCTCCGCTCACACAGGTAGGTTGGTGATGGTGGAGCGCCCCCTCCTCCCCCACCAACCGGAGGGCCCTTGAAAAGCCATCAAGGGGCACGTTAGCTGATGAGTCCATAGGTGACCCTCGAGCTTGAGGGAGAGGTTAGGCTCGGTGAGCAGGCGCTTGCAGCAGGTGCAGCGTCCCAGGAGAGGGTGGACTCTGGAGGCCCATCCCAGAAAACACTGAAGAGTAATAGCTTGGGGAAGCTGGACTGTGCGCTGAGGGGTGGGCTTGAGACGGAGGCTCAAAGCCTGGTGGCAAAAGGCTGGAGGAGTCCAGGCACCAGGTTTAGGTTCCTCCAGGGGTTTATTACTGGAGGTGTATCGCCAGCTGGGCTAAGCGCCTGCTCTCTCCCGGACAGAAGCACCTGGTCTGTGGCCCAGTGAAAGCAGCTGGTGCCCCCGGCGCCCTGACTGCCCCCGAGTACTACGAGTGAGTGAGGCTGGAAGGGAGGCCACCGAATCAGGGTAGTTGAGGTGGGGGGGGTCTCACCACCAACCCCCCCCCCCCCCGCAGGCCCCCCGGCTCACTCTTCTCCACACTCAGGCTCCGGCACGCCCAGGTGTGCAAGGCGTCGGCCCGGAAGCGCGGCAGGGAGCTGGCCCGAGGTGCGCCTGGGGGGCCGGGCTGCGCTCCGCGGGAGGGGCGGTCACCCGCTTCCCTGCACGCCCGCACTGACCCGCTCAACCCCCGCAGACCCGGCCTGGACGGAGGTCGTCCGCGTTCTCTCTGTGGCGACCATCAAGTTCGAGATGCTCAGCACAGCCCCACAGAGTCAGGTGAGCCCGGGAGCCCGACAGGTTCAGGGCTTGGGGAACAGGCTGGGTCGTGGCTGCAACTGTGACCCCCCCGGCCCCCCAGCTCCTCCTGGCCCTGGCCGGCGGCAGCATTTCCACAAAGGGCACCAAGAGTGGCACCTTCGTCATGTACAACTGTGCCCGTCTTGCCACACTATTTGAGGGGTACAAGCACAGCACGGAACAAGGTCGGTACCCCACTTTTCCACCTGTGAGCAGTCTCAATTTTTCACTGCTACAGGATGAGGTGAGTGTCCTCCTGGGGAGCTGGGCACCTGCAGGAGGTTGGGACTGCCCCTCCCAGCGCTCTTCACCTCCCCCCGCCCCCGCAGGGTGAGTGGCTGCTGCTCTTCAACGGCGTGCTCCCCTTCCCAGACGTGCTGAGCCAGACCGCAGCCTTGGCGTGCGCGGCCCCGGGGCTCCACGCAACGGCGCGCACCGAGACGGTGAGGCAGAGAGGGCCGGACAGACACTGCGCGCTTGATGATTTATTCTGGGCTGGGCACGAGATCAAGGAGACCAGCCAGTGACTCAGTCTCTGTCTCTAGATGTGCAAGTTCCTGGTTCAGCTCAGCATGGATTTCAGCTCATACTATAACCGCATACACATCCTAGGAGTAAGTACACAGCAAAGGGGGGGGTGCTTGCAGGGGTGCAAGGGAAGCAAAGGAAGAGACCAGCAGGCCCCTTCTCTCCTCCAGGAGCCTCGACCACACCTATTTGGTCAAATGTTTGCCCGTCTCCAGCTTCTGCGGGCCGTGCGTGAAGTGCTCCACGCTGGCCTAGCCATGCTGGGTCTCCCTCCACTGAACCACATCTAAGGCCACAGAGACCCCGACAGCTAGGAATGTTTACAAAGTCATGACCTGGAAAAAAGATACAAAGATGCTGTTAGAGACCTGGAGCCAAAATAAATTGCTTCTGTTCCGTACAAAGCCGGGTCCTGTTGGTGGATACTGGGGCGTAGGCTGGGTCTGCCCAAACAGCACCCACCTCACCTTCTGTTCCTGCTCCGAAGTCAGGAGCCCGCGGCTGCCGCCTCCTCCTCAAGGCACACTGGGCATGGGCACAGACGGCCGCTTCTGTTCCACCCTGTCTGCGAGCAGGTCCCATGCCCAGCACACCGGCCACCGCGGGACACCTTAATCGTACCAGTTGTAAACCTCAAGCCCCTGGCCCCCAAGAGCACAGCGGTGGCCAAACTCAGGGCTTACAGGCCAACAGTCCATGTCAGCCACGTCTGGGACATGGTACACGGTACTGTTCATGAAGGTGGGCTCCCCATGCCCCAGACGCCAGAAGGTCAGCCGTTGGTCGATGGAGGCTGAGACCATGAGGCTTGGGCTTAGGATCTTGAGACCTGTCACATGGGCAGCATGCGCACAGGGGACGGAGTACTCCTCTAGCACACGCAACTGGGGCACCAGCTCAGCACCCCCCATGGCCTCTTCCAGCTCCGGTGCCTCCACGGCCAGCACAAAGACATGGAGGGAGCCATCCTCACTGCCACTGGCCACGAGATGGCCCTCACGTGTGGGCAAGGTATGCAGGCTGTTGACACCACAGCTGTGAGCCTGGAGGGTCAGGCAGGGGGCACCCAGCCCTGGAGGGAGAAGATGGTTGTCAGGGCCCAGCCCGCCACCGGGTGAAGGCGAAGTGCGAGGCGGGGAGGGACGGCCCGGGCTGTCCGCTAGCTACTCACGGTAGGGAAGCCCAGCGTCTGCTGGAGGCTCCAGGGCAGCGGAGCCGTGGTCCAGGACGGTAGTGAGATCCCAGAAGGCCAAGCTGCCGTCGGTGGCTGCGCTGCACAAGAACAGCCTCCTGGGGGCCGGGAGAGGGCAGCTGGGTCAGTGAGGGAGATGGGAAGCAACAGGAGCCCCCACCCGGCCCACGCGGGGCCCCCGGGCAGCCCCTCTCACCGCCGCTGGTTGGGTGCCTCATGGGTAAAGGAATGGACCTTGAGAACACACCGCTTGTGGTGGAAGGTTTCAGCCAGGAGCTGCAGCCGCCGCCCCGAGTCCTGCAAAAGGAAGAGCCTGGGGGGGGCGGGGGGGGCCAGCTCAGAACCCATTCTGGACAAACTTCCAGCCCTGGTGCTGGGGCCCAAGGCGCTCCGCTCTCACCGCACTGCTCCGTCACTGCAGGCTGCAGCCACTAGGGGGCCGAGGCCAGGCCGGTCGAGCTCACACACAGCCAGGGACATGTACCTGCAGACACGACACCGGCCAGCAGTCAGGGGAAGCCTAGGAGCAGCGGCAAGGGGCCAGCCCTGCGGGACGCCAGCCCACACTCCCGCCTCGCGGTGCGCACGTCACCTGGTCTCTGGGTCCACCTTGACCATCCGGTGCCGATTGCGCTGCCGGTCCCAGTACTCATCTAGCCGGTGGGACGAAAGGTGCATGACATGGCAAGCGAGGCGGCTTGGGGTGCTGGGGTCCGGGGTGACCATGATGCTGAAGCAGTGCATCTCGGCCCGGCCCCCCGCAGACACCACATGAGCGGTCAGGCCTGGCCGAGGATCCTGAGGGCCACCTGGGGTACCGATGCCCCACACGGCCAGGGCGCGCACGGAGGAGATATGATTACACACCGCTGTAAGTGCGTGGGCCGAGCCGGTGACGGTGGGGAGCGCCAGGACACAGACGGTAGTGTCCTCACTGCACGTGATCACGATGTCGGTCAGGCCCGGCCCCTCGCTGCCGGGCTCCACGTGGTCGGGCTGCATGAAGCTGGGCACCTCAAATTCAGGCCCCAGAGTGATGGTGCCCACACGCTTCACACAAGTGATCTCACGGCCATGCAGGCTCTCGCGGAGAATCACATGTGGCCGGGTGCAGCCACCCAGAGCCCGGTAGAGCATGACGTCCCCGTCCTTGAGGTAGGCGAAGGCCATAGCCGCCTCGGTATCGGAGAAGGCCCAGGAGCGGTGCCCTCCACCGCAGTTGACGATGTGCAGCTTTTCATGTGACCGGGGACTCCACACCACAAACTCGTTGGCATGGAAACCCAGGATGACCATACTCCCGTCAGCCACCATGCGGAGCCCAGCCACCCAGTTCATGCCTCGACAGGACTTCTGCCTGAGGACCGGCTGCAGTTGGCCGCCTCGCACAAAGAGCTGATAGTAGGCGCCATCGCGCCCCGTGGTATACACGTAGCCACCGTGGCAGGTGACGGACGTCACACCCTGCTTCCCATGCAGAGAGGGGAGGGCGGACACAGGGCCCCACTCGGTAGAAGCAGTCTCAGCCCCCTCACTACTACTACCTGCTCCAAGAGCTCCAGCGATAGCCCCCGCCTTGCCCCCAACCCCAAGGTCCTTGAGCAGAGCTGGTCTGGAGGGAAACAGCAACACAGAGCCCCGGCGGTCCCCACACACCAGGAAGTCACCAGGGGGTAAGAAGGCACTGCACGTGTGCCATCTCTGCTTGCTGGGCGGCAGCAGGTAGCGGCAACGTTCCTTTACAAAGATGGCCTTACCAGAGGGCGCAGCTGAGATTTCCAGGCAAGCCACCACACCGCCAGGGCCCGATGCCAGCAACAGGAGTTCCTCGTAGCCACGCAGGGCCCAGCTCAGGCTATGCACTTTCCCACGGAACAGGGTCAAGTCCACGGCTGCAGTTGGAGTGTTGATGGGGACAACCTTGACACGACCCTCCCCATTGGCCATGGCACAAAGTCCGAAACCCTCAGGACCAGGGGCTGCCTCCAGGAGGCAGTAGGACTGGAAGCGCTTGTCCTCCAGCAGCTGCTCCCAGCACTTGACCTCAAGGTCGTAGAGATACAGGGCCCCTGTATCAGTCACTGCCAGTAGTCGCCAGGAGCCAGCCAGCGTCACAGCCTTGAGGGTACCTGGCCTGCTGCGGGACTTGAAGCAGAGAGCTGAGACCCCTGAACCCGGGTACCCACGCCCTACCAGGTGCCACAGCCGGATGCCCGAGTCATCACCCCCGGTGACCACCCAGGCCTGCCTCTCATGGGCAGCTATAGCCCGGATCCCACGGCCCTGGTGGCCCCGAAAGGCCTGAAGGATCTCACCTTCATGGCTCCATACCAAGCAGACACAGTCCTCTCCTGCACTGATAAGGTAATTCTCTAGGAGCTTGACCTGCCACACACGGGCGCTGTGCCCAAAGCAGTGCCCAATATTCTGCACCCGACCCCCAGGCACCCGCAGGTCACCCACCTTCCAGACGCGGACACTTCGGTCTTCTGAAGCTGTGGCCAACAAGCCCTTGCTTTCCAGGTACGACATGCTGAAGATGACCCCCACATGCCCACTGACACGTCGGTCAGGGGCCACCGGCTTATTGTCTATTAAAGCGGCTGCGGGGTACCAGACAAGGAGCTGATTGGAAACTGCACCTGCCACTATGGTCAGCTCCTTCCAGGTATCTCCGATCAGACAGGCTGAGGAGAGGGTGCACCTGTCTGTGCAGGGCACCTCCTGCAGCATGCACCCTACCACAGGGTCGTACAGCACTACCGAGTTATGGCCCAGGGCCAAGGCCATGTTGCCCTCAAGCCAACGTGCATCCCAGATCCAGTCAGTCATGTTCCACAGGCCAGAGCGCCAGAGCTCCCGGAAGCGGCCCTGTCCCCAGCTAACTTTCACAATTCGGAGTCCCTTGCTCCCAAACACAGCCACCATAGCCTCCGAGTCAAGGTCTCCATTTGGTTCTGGTCGCACCCGGAATCCGTGGATAAGATAGTGGCCAAGCAGGTTCTGCACGCGCTTCATCATCCGCAGATGGCCACCAAAATCGAGGCTGTACACCAGGACATCTGGCCCCTCACCTAGGCAGAAGCAGAGAGCCACATCAGAACCTCACTCAACAGGGCGCCTGGGTGGCTCAGTCGGTAAAGCGTCTGCCTTCGGCTCAGGTCATGATCCCAGGGTCCTGGGATCGAGTCCCACATCGGGCTCCCTGCTCAGTAGGGAGCGTGCTTGTTCCTCTCCCTCTCTCTGCCCCTCCTCCCTCTGCTTGTGCTTTCTCTCTCTCTCTCAAATGAATAAAATAAAATAAAATCTTTAAAAAAAAAAAAGAAGAAGAAGAACGCTCACTCAACTCTGCCAAGCCATGAAGAGACGGGGGCAGGGAAAAATCGGGCACGGAGTATAGCCTGCAAATGCACTAGAACACACAATCCTGCTGGCTCGAACCCTGGAAAATCCTTGGCCTCAGTGTCAGCTGGACTTTTCAGTGCTGACTTTCGGACGCCTGCCAGTTGCCCAACACTCAGTTCAACCTGGCTTCCTCAAACGCCGCCTCTTCCTCACCACACCTGACGGTTCCAATAGGAACCCTCGAAGCCCTTGTCCCAAAGCCCCAGCTGCATCTGCATCTACACACAGTCTTCCCACTCTCCCTCCCCCAGAGAAGAGGCTGTCCCCAAAGGTGATCCTCCCACCTTGGGACCACAGCAGAACCCCTCTGGGTTTCCAAGAGCTTTTTCCTTGCAGCTCAGATGTAACCGTGTTCAACACTGACGGGAAAAACCAGGACAGGCGGCCCCCACTTTGGCAGCCAAGGCTCCCATGACCCTCAGCTACCTTCTGGCTGCCCTGCGGGCCCCTCTCACTCTACTAGCTCACCTTCAAGTTCTCTCAACGCTCCTCACTCCACTGATGGCTCCACTGACCGTTACCAGCTGGGTAACGGTCTACCCAGCCCCAGCCCCAAACCAGGAAGCTCACCGCTTATTCCGCTAAACTTCCCGCATCTTCTCATGTTCTCAATCGCCAAGTTCCATGTGCTCATTTTCTAGAAATTTTTCAAATCCTTCCCACCACAGTGACTTTGGTCCAGGATATCTATCACCTGTTAACCTGAGATGACACTAACATTCCCTCATGCTATTTTTAGACTGCAGTTTCAAGCTCAATAGACATGCACTGAGCATCGATTATAAACCAGACAAGGAACTACACGCT